TTTTTTTTTTTTTTTTTTTTTTTTTGACGTTTAAAGTCAAAGTTATCTACAAGGTGGATGGATATACAAGGATATTATTTCGCTGATAAATAAAAAATACCAATTCTGTTAGGGCCTGTTTACAAGGAGGGAGGGTAACCCAAACAGCAAGAGGGTTAAACTAGCGTTCGCACATTTCTACTTATTACTTTTACGCGACGTGTTTACAAAGCAACCAGATAGGGTTGCCCTAGCAAGAGGGTTACACTAAATATACCTGCCTTGTAAACGCTCTGCTAAGGGATAACTCATGACCAGTAACTCATGAAAATTTGAATGAGTTAACCAAGTTTTCTTGCTAGATTTTAAACACCTGAACAATATTACGTATTTTCTTTATGCGATGATAATACCTGACTTTTTTTCCGTATAACGTGTTTAAAATGGAGAATTCAAGATTTCGTCCAAATCTTGGACATTACAAGGCATGTTAGTTTAGTCTTCACATGACGAAACACATCAGTTAAGCCGGTTAACTGGTTTGACTCGTGTCTACTTCCTGGGAAATTTTGCTTTTAACCAGAGTACTTTGAACCCGGCCTCTTGCTAGGGTAACCCTAAGACCAGGGTTACCCTGCCCCTTAGATACCTTTCTCAACAAGTTTTTGTATTGGAATTTTGTTACATCCACGCTCATTCTCCGCCTCTGCCTCGTCTCTGCCAGTACATTTACAGTTCCTTATTTCTTTAATTATAAATTCTAATTCTGAGCCGTTTTATATTAAGGTGTAACTGAAAGAATACACAGCGTCAGTAAACCTTCTCTGTCCCTTAATTGTTTCCGGAAGTTTCGGTCCAGCTCTCGGTGGTTGCATCAGTACCATGCGCAAAATGCGTTATTGAAAGAATGATATCTTGCTTCACTGCCTATCAAATCCTTAGCACAGATACCAGAAATCTCAGCAGCAATAGAACTCATGTTAGTGTTCACTTTCAGGTGCAACGAAGCGCTTTTTGTCGCCCTTCATCTGCTCTAAATGCGTCGACGCTACGCAACTTCTTCTGTGTTCTAGCTTGGTACTACACAAGTGATTGAGGGAAATCCTGTTTTCCTGTTGATAGATCTAGAATTTGACGGTGTTGCTTGATCAGCCCAACACGATGGAGCCTCGCCCACGACCCTGCGTCTTTACATTGCATCAGACGCCCACCGCTCTCGCTGCAGATCACACAACATTCTCGCTAAAGATCACACAATTTCCTAGCTCAGTTCTTATGGAAGAATAACACTGATCACAAAGATAACCCATGCATATGCACAACAAAATGGACTGCACTTTCTATGGGATGATCCAGATCAGGATCGGTGACCCCAGATCACTCGGACCATGGTAGATCAAGTGGACCGATAAATCCTTGTCGAGAGTGGATTAATCGGTTCGAATGGTCTAACATGATCCGAGTGATCTGGGATTACTAATCCTGATCCGAATCATCTCAAAAGAACGCACCCTATTTAGCTGTTAGTACAAGTTTGGTTACCACGCAAGTATTGGCAAGAGCAACATCTGCATAAGTTTCTTTATCATGACTCGTCGTATCTGCGAAAATGTATTGTACCAACATTATTAATATATCTACCTAATTTCCGTGCATTAACATCAAATTACATTACCGTAGTTAGTATTGTGCAATCAGATTTTTTAATTTGTACTTTGTATTAGGATATTATCTTTGGCAAATGATGTAAAGCGTTCACGATTACTGTTGCTGCATACAATTAATGATTTACTTTTTTTTAATGCCGGGCGTTTATTTTCTTTACTCGGATCCCTAGCATATCTGGATATATTTTCATTTAACACGCAACTTAATATTCTACAGTATAAGGTCTATAAGTAGTGGCGTGAGTTTAACGCATTCTGCAATATTTCTGTTTTTGCAGCTTGTCTTATGATGCTCTGCAGAGACACCTTTTCTAGTTAATTTTGAAAGAAGAATTTAAAAACTTTGAAAACCTGCTTCATAATAGCAAATCTTACACAGTCAATGTGATCGTTGCGTGACTTCAGTTTTGTTGAATGCAGTACGTATACGTGGAGCGAAATCAAATTAATACACGACGGCTTGTTGTTATTGCTTTACTAAACTCATTACAAATAAGCACCCACACTAGAAATTTAGCACAATGCAAAAACATACGTGTTTCTAGTCAAATTCTTCATCATTATATGAGCTCTATTTTCGGATTCACATTTCATCACCGCAAAGTTTCGACTAAACGCAGAATTTGAATTTGACAATGACGCTTAGCCTGACAGCTGAAGTTAAGACGGGATTGATACCTGAAATCTTTTCGATAAAAATCAAAGAAAAAATTTCGAATGTATCAGAAGATAGTATAAGACACACATTTACGATTTACTAAGGATAAGACAACTTTCAAACAACTTTGCATGTGTTTTGGTTCATGTTATTAAGAGTCCGCCTTCCTATCGAGAGCCAGATTTGGTAAAATGGCGTCATTCGGTAGC